CACAGATCTCTGTGCTACACATCCAATAATATCATTAACGTGAATGTTTTAATATTTTTAGTGCAAAATCTGATCTGGTCACAGCGCTGAAAAACACCAAAGTGTCCCAGCATGGAGTCAAATTCAAAGTCGGAGTTATTGTTTCAGTCCTCTGCTCTTAGTAAATGTAATAAATTTGACAACATGGTTGTAAAATCTTAGAGGAACCTTTTTCACCTTTTTGTCAGGTCACAGCACAAGAAATTAACTGATTTATCAAAAAGTATTTCTTGCATCGTCAACAATGATGACATGAAGCATTTGCTGGAGCCTGAAATACTGTAAGTAGAACTCCAGATTAGATTAATGTCACATGATCATATTAAACAGAGACACATCTAGAAAAACCTCAGGACAGTCTGGTGTTTAGTTTCTCACAGGAAGGATTTTGTTGGACTGATAATCGCTGCAGAGTTTCAGAGGATGGAAAGTAAGTGGAAAGTGTCGGCTGCTGAGGATCCATCTTAGTGTGTTTGTCTGATCCTGCAGCTCACAGGAAGTTGCTCCACCTACAGCAGCATAGATAACCTGTGCAGTGATATCTCTGCAGGCAGGATGTAGATGTGCTAACGGGAGAAAATGAATTCTGTTTTTTCCCAGTGTCTTTTTCTAAAATCTGCATTGTTAATGATTTTTTTTTTTTAAATCTTCCACTGAGACAAAAGCAGCCATAAATGTAGATCCTCTATATGTTGATCACGTCTCTGTGTCAGTATAAGACTTTAGTGCAGCCTCTCTCTCTGGTTCACTGCAGTCTTTGTCTCTGTGTTTCTGTCAGGTGCTCACATTGTCCAGAATATGTACGGCTGTGAATGGGATGAAGAAACAGGTGAAGTGAATGGATATGAACAATACGGCTATGATGGAGAGGACTTCATAAGCTTAGACCTGAAGACAGTGACGTGGGTCGCTCCAAAAAAACAGGCTCTCACCACCAGACAAAAGTGGGACAATGACAGGGGTTGGATGGCTCAGGAAAAGAACTACCTCACCCAGATTTGTCCTGAGTCACTGAAGAAGTATGTGAACTATGGGAGGAGCTCTCTGATGAAAACAGGTAAAATCTATGACCAGAATTAGATTGTTAACCAAAAGTTATGTCTAAGTTTATTACTTAATATGATATTAAATTAACCTTTTCATGCATGAATTATGAAAACCTCAATCAGGGCTTTTTTTT